GGGTTTTGAAACTCGGTCTCCAGGCTGGTTTCGATAACAGTTTTAAGATGAACCCTACTGTATACATTGCCCTGGCAACAAACCAAGCAAATATAGAACGATTGCATATTGATTTGCACTTGCTACTTATATTGTTAAAGTAGTACATTTTCGCACATTTGTTATCATGGTGTAGAGGTCTGACGATAGTGACAGTGACGTATGAGATGTTTCCTTTTAGATGACGTCTGATCAACGACTCATTCTTCCTTTCGTTGCCTGTGGCGACCTCTCCGGTTACGATGCTGACGCCTGCTACGAACTGGACGATGACTATGTTTCCCTTGACCCCGTGCAACCCCCCATCGATCCGGCCTACCTTGAGGTTTGCCGCAAAGCGCGCACCAAGGCAGCCCACGACGAGGCAGCCATAATTACCGGATTGATGGAGGCCACTAAACTCTCCTAGGTCCATTTGCCACAGCTCTGTACAGTACTGTACCTTTATTGTTTTGCGCAAATATACAATTTCACACAGTTTCTATGCTGCCTTCTAGTTTAATTTTGTGTTTCTCTGACATCAGTTATGGTTCGCAGCTTGCTCTGTTTGCCTGCATCAGTTTTTTTTTTGCTTTGAAGATTCTGCAGTATTTAACGCTTTTGATATAGCCGCCTTATGTAGGACTACCATTTCTCGTCTGTACGCGTGATATTGGTTGTGGTGACGGTGGTTGTTGTGTGTCGTAGCCCTTGTTGGATCAGGAGTCCCCGCCGGAGTCCAAACTGGTTATAGTTGGAAGACAGAGAACAGCCGAGACCTCGAGCGGCTGTCTACAGCCGGGAACTGCAGGCAAATAGATGCTGACAGTCATGCGGAGAGACGCCGCAGTCGGGACAGCTTTCGGGTGTGGACGGGTTGAGCCAGTGTTGGTACTGGCGAAGGAGCATTGAGTAGCCCCTGCGTAGTTGAACCAGAGCGCAGCGACTGACCCTCGGGAGTTGTTTTTTCGAGGCCGCAATCTGAGGTGGATATCCGCCCAAAAGGACCGGGGATGGTAACCTCCTTTTTTCCTCGACAATGTCTCTCTCGTGAAGACGCTAGAAGCCTGTCTTGTTAGCAGAACCATCAACGGGTAGATCCGAGAGAGACGAGGCGACAGTTGTCTTGTGGAGAGCTCGAATAGGCGGCCGAACGTTGCGGCTGGGTTCAGGGGCGTG